GCAGTTCCACTCTGTCCTCTAGGGGCGCTGTGGGTCAGAATCGACTCCATGGCAGTGGGTGTGGTTTGGGCTTTGCTTCTGTGAAGACTGACAGCCTTGGAAACCCTGTGAGGCAGTTCCACTCTGTCCTCTAAGGGCGCTGTGAATCCAAATCGACTCAGTAGCAGTGGGTTTGGTTTGGGCTTCGCATCTGGAGGGAGCTCTGGTGGTGTAGTGCCTAAGGCACTTGACTGCTAACCAGAAGACTGGAGGTTCAAACCCACCAGCCATTCCTCGGGTGGAAGTTTGGGCAATCTACTTCTGTAGAGATACTTCCTCAGAAACCCAAGGAGGGGTGGCTATGAGTCAGATCTGACTCAAGGGCAGTGCATTTGTTTGTTTGTTTGTTTTGCATCTGTAAAGATTGACAGTCTTGGAAACCCTCTGGGGCAGTTCCACTCTCCTGCAGGGTTGCTATGAGTCGGATGGCAATGAGTTTGGTTTTTGGTGTATAGTCAAGTTAACATCAGATTTTATGCATGGGGCCCGAGGGTAAAATGATATGTCCAGGGGCCCCCAGCAAGTTAGAGGCAGAGCCAGAAGTCCCACCCAGATCATTAAGTGTGCACTCCAACCCCTGACTCCAAGCCTCCTGAAGACCCAAGGCATCATGGTCACTGTCCTTTGGTAACCAGCCCCTTCTCAGAATTTCTCTAACACTGTTTAGTGTAAGATGACGCTTAACTTCTCCTGCTGAACATGTGAGCATCAGCCTTCATCTCTGAAAACCAGTTGACACCCGCAACCCTTCCTGTAGGGGGCGCTATCTCGAGAAAAAGGAAGCCAAGGATCCAGCCCGGAGTGTCGCTGAGGGGAAGAGCCTGGGTTGGTGAATAGGACGGACATCTCGCTGTGTGAGCATAGATGCTCGCATCACTGTTTGGAGTCTGCCCATCTGCTGTCCTTCATTCACCGTTCAGTATACATTAGACCAGAGGTGGATGCTACTATTTAGTACAGTCCCGAGAGATCAAAGGTCACTTACAGGGCAGTGTTCAGTGTTGTAAAGTATTGTGATGGAGGAATGCTGGGGACATGGGGAGAGTCATCAGGGGGGACTGGGGCAGAGAAGGAGGCAAGAAGGAAGGGCCAGGCAAGGCTTCCAGAGAGGGGCTCACCCAGGTGCCCAGGGGAGATGAGCACTGGAGGGGGGAGTCCCTCTGCCCGCCCAGCTATGGAAGCATCCAAAGTAAACAACCCTACAGGCTTGTAAACAGGGAACCGGAGACATCATTTGGCAAATGAGGACAACTACAAACCAAAAAGAGGGAATAAACTGTGTTGTTACAGAACTTCTAGATGGTAGGGAAGTCAGACACCTACAAGATAGAACAGACTGTTCTAAACTTGGGAAGAAATGTATACATCACAGGGTAACCTCGAAGAAAAAATGATAAACCTTCACATCAAAAAAGAGGACCAGCACAAATATTCACAAATACTAAAACAATAGCAATGAAGGAAGTGATAACACGATTCATAAACAAAATGAGCTCAGCATAGAAAATTACATGGAACAAAGAAATTGACACCATGAGAAAGCACATTAACAAAAATGACAGCAACAAATTCATATTTGCCAATAGTCACATATCTGGCAAGGGACTTATCTCCAAGATTTATAGCAGAAGAGTGGATGACCAAACTGTGGTACACACACATACTGGAATGCTATGCAGCACTAAAGAATAATGTAGAGTCAGCAAAACACCACATAACATGCATGAACGTAGAGGACATTATGCTGAGTGAAATAAGTCAATCACAGAAGGACAAATATAGTATTAGTTCGTTGTTGCAGAGGGTCAAGGAAAGGTTTATATATGGCGGGAAACTTTCTTTGTTGGTTGCGGGGGAAGGGGAGGAGAGGGAACACTGAAAAAAAAAAAATGCATTGACCCATGTCACTTTAATAAAAAAAAAGGAGTCTCTCTGGGGCCGATCTGGTGCCCACAGCTGTGCCTCTGTGCCACACCGCTGGGTGCCAGAAGGTCCTGTCGTCAGCAGGCAGTGCCACCGTTTTTAGGGTCCTTTCCAACCCTCTCTGCAGAGTTGCACAGGTTTTGCTAGATCAGGGCAGAGTAAAGAAACAGAAGTAATATGCATATGAAATGAGTGCAGTCTTCAACCCCCTTTTCTAGCCTCTCCCTGGCCACCTCCCTGGAAACATCTAGAAAATCTTTAAGTCTTGCTTCAGTCATTCAAATGATAATCCTCCCTCCTCCCTCTGACAGTAATACCTGCCTCTTTTTTAGCGTCCGCACTGTGCGCCACAGGGAGCTGACTTTGCCAGTCCTCCCCAACCCCTTCATCCCTTTGACTTCTTACAAAGCCCCGGGAGGGTGCTTCCCAAGGCCCTTAGCATAGCTGTGGCAAGAAGTTTACACAGAATATCGTCCTCTCCCTCAGGCACCTTTATGGCTCCCCCCCACAGCGTCACAGGTGCATTCTAGGGGCAACGGGGAGGTCTGTTTGGAAAACCAGGTGGGTTTGAACCGCCGACCTTTCAGTTAGCAGCAGAGTGCTTCCATTGTGCCACCAGGGCTCCTATATTTCAAACATTTGCATATTTTTTTTCTTTTCGTTTTCTTCTCGTTCAGACACAGACAGACCTTTCGTAGAAATGTACAGTGAGCTCCCCAAGGTCATACAGCTGCTGGAAGGACGGGAGATCATCATTCCCTGCCGGGTCTCCTCGCCGAACACCACTGTGACCTTAACAAAGGTAAAGAGAAGCAGTGAGTCTCAGGGGAGAGTCATTGCAAGGGAGCCCAGCGGACGCTGGGTCTTCTCTGAGATGTTTAGGACCTCGGTGGACTTTTCTGCAGCGTTTCTTCACTGTGAAGGCTGAAAGCAAAGCTGTCAGTT